TCTCTCTCTCTCTCTCTCTCTCTCTCTCTCTCTCTCTCTCTCTCTCTCTCTCTCTCTCTCTCTCTCTCACACACACACACACACACACACACCATAATTTTTGCACGAGCCTGCAAAGCTTGTTCGCTTCGGAGGAAGCGCAGCACAACAAGCTTTGCAGGCTTGTGGCAAGCAATACTTGTACTGACACCTGTTAGAGCCAAGGCCTTCAGAATGCTGGAAGAATCTCAACAATTGTGCATCCTGGGAGGAGAGAGAGGGAGAGGGAGAGGGAGAGAGAGAGAGGGAGAGAGAGAGAGAGAGAGAGAGAGAGAGAGAGAGAGAGAGAGAGAGAGAGTCCAAGCAGTTCCAAATGACAAATGGTAAGCATGAAGGAAAAATATCGTGCACGAGGAAAATAACCAATCAACAAGCTCCTAATCCGGTAAGAATAAAGACAACACATTGTGTAGAGGCCAAGGACTAGACCCACGGTGATTGCTGGCAGCGTCCTTAGAGGATAGGCCACCTTCCCTACCCTTACCCAGATTGACGGAGGGGTTCGAGAAGATCGCCAACCCGTGGGAGAGGTCCTGCATTCTTCCTTGGTTGCACATTGAGCTTGTGATAGTCGCTGTGTAGGCACAAGTCCTTGTTCTTCTTCCAGACAACGAGAACGGGAGCACCGTACGGCGAGCTGCTAGGGGTAATCCACCCTTTCACAAGAAGATCATCCAGCTGTGTGTGAAGTACAACCGGTTCCTCTTCGATCGATCATGCGCTACATGCATTCGCGCGGAGTAACGATACCATCCCCAAGTATGATCTCATGTCGGATAGACCGGTCCACTACAAAGATGTCCCAGTAGGCGTCAAGAGGGTCAACTACGCATGGGTTTGTCAATGCGTCCGTCGGCGTCAATAAGGTCAACTATGCATCGTAGGCGTCAAGAAGATCAACTATGCATGGATTCCCAGCGCACCCCCTATCCCTACTATCCTACCTCAGCGTGACCAGCACTCAGGACCATCATCCTACCAGTATCGAAGGCAATTTGGACCAGACAGCAGTGACAAGCACCAAGGGGCCGTAGCGCATCCAATCTGGGGGGTCTTACTGTTTTTTTTTTGGGCCAAGAGGCGTCCACGCAGGCCGCGGAGGGCTCCTGGCCCAAAACAAAATCAAACCGGGTCCAAGTAGGCCCGCCAAAAAGGCTTGAAAAGGGCGGCCTATCTGGACCGCTGATCTCGAGAGATCGGCAGCCCAGATAGGCCACCCATTTCAAAGTTTTTGGGTGGGAAGTACCGTTCCTACCCTGCCACTAACACCCCCACCCCCTTTTTCAAAGTTTTTGGGCGGAAGGTCAAGATTTGCAGAAAGCCAGGTACGTTGTTGTCAATGTCTGCTGAAGCCAGTGCTTGCTGAAACCCTACCACTAACACCCCCACCATAAATCCCCCAACCCCTGACCCCCAACCCCT